CCCAATAAACGCAATATAGCATGTCACAGATCCCCTAGTGTTTAAATCAGCAGCCCAATCTAAATCTGAAAAAGTTACTAAGTTGGATTCTGACTTTGTTGAATACATTATGCTATGATTTATTGTTCCTTGAAGATATCTCATGATCCTCTTTACTACCCCAAAATGTAAATTTGTTGGTGTTGTCATGAGTTAGCAAACTAAGTTGACAACAAAAGCAATATCAGGCCTAGTGAAGGCCAGATATTGTAGTGATCCTACAATGCTCCTATACAAACTTGGATATGTAAGTATTGTCCCCTCTGATGCAAGTAATTGGTTGTGAGGTTAGCAAGGTGTTGTAGCTGGTTTACAAGAGTCCATGCTTGCTTTATGAATCAAATCCCTTGCATACTTAGCTTGATTAACAAAGATGTCACCATTTGGTCTATATTGTACCTACAAACCCATAAAATATGTAAGCTTCCCCAAATATTTCAAGTCAAACACTATAGCTAGTTCTTCAATGGTTCTTTGGGTTTTAATAGAACTTGATCCAAAGAGAATTATATCATGTACATATAGAAGTAGTATGATAGTCTCCCCATCTTCTGTCTTCAGGAACAAACTTGAATATGAGGGTGATGCAGAAAACCCCATAACTAAAAGATAGCTTGTAAATTTTGAATTCCAAGCTCTTGGAGCTTGTTTCAAACCATAAAATGACTTTAATAATTTGCAGACATATGTTGGATAAGAACTATCAACAAATCCCTGAGGTTGCTTCATATATACCTCCTCTTGCAAATCTTCATGCAAAAATGCCTTATTTATGTCTAATTGTTTCAATTCCCAATGATTCCTTGTAGCAATAACAAGTATAATCCTCATTGTTGTATGCTTTACTACTGGACTGAAGGTTTCAGTATAATCAACCCCATGTTCCTAAGAAAAGCCTTATGCTACCAATCTGGCCTTGTACCTTGAAATAGTACCATCTAGGTTATTTTTAACCTTGTAAACCCACTTACTACCCAAAATTGATCTACTTTTAGGAGCTAGAACCAAGGTCCATGTACCATGAGCTCTAAGTGAATATTTGCTCCTGCGTTACACTTTGCCATTGAGGAATTGATGCAACTTTCCTAAAGCATGTAGGTTCAGTTACATCTGTAATCTCTGAGATAAAGGAATATCCTCCATGAAATGAGTCTTCCTCACTTAATTGTAGTGTTTGAAGTTCAGGGAAATTAGCTAGATAAGCAGCATAATGTTTCTTATCTATTGCACCACTTCTTAATCTTGTCACCATTGGATGACTTGAAGTAACAATTTGATTCTCCATAGGCCTTTCAGAGAAAGAATGAGATATTGGTGAAATAGATGGAAGGAGTACCTCAAGTTGAGAACTGTGATGGACATGCAACAAAGGTGATTGAGATGTAACTTGTGTACCAGAGTGATGATGATGATGATGGGACTTTGACTTGCAAGATCAGAATTTACTACATTCACAGAATTGCTAGTTGCAAAGACTGATTCATTTTGTTCTGAGACAACAGGACTTGTAGATCTCACTTGACTTGTACTACTAGACTATATTGTATTTGCCGCAGAAGTTGTGTCATTATGTCCTAAAACATCATGACTAAATTATCTTGTTGAACTTGAATTTGCATACTATGATCCATTCTCAGTGTTTGATAATAATTCCATATTCTGTATTGTAGAACCAATTGAAGGTAGTTGAGTCATAATTGGAACCTGAGAAACTTTACAAGACTATTGTTGATTTGTAGCAACTGAAGACGCCTTATGTTTACATGGAAACATTTATTCATCATGTATAACATGCCTGGACAATATTATATAACCAAGAAACACACATTGAGCTGATCTCTGTTGCAACTTGTTGTCATTATAGGGTTTTAAAAGTGGATAAATTGCTGATCCAAATACTTTGAAATGGTGTAGCTCTGGATTTTGACCAAACAAAACTTGATATGGTGACTTCATTTGTAAAGTTTTACATGGCATTCAATTGATTAAAAATGCAGCAAGTGAGCATGAATGATACCAGAACATTGAATTCAAGTTTGCATCAGACATTAAAGTTATGGCAATCTCAACCACACGTCTATGCTTTATCTCAACAAGTCCATTTTGCTGAGGAGTATATGGACATGACACCATGTGAGCAATTCCTTTATTCTAAAAAAAAATTTACAAACAATTTACTCATGTATTCTTCTCCCCTATCTATTTGTAAGTATTTAATAGACACATTGAACTGATTTAAAATAAAAGCATGAAACTTTACAAAAATCTGAAATACCTCTGATTTACTATTCATTGGAAACATCCACAAGAACCATGAAAATTCATCTACAAAGCTTATGTAGTATCTATATCCTTCTATTGACAATTTTGGAGATGGACCCCATACATCAGAATGGATATTTTCAAACAAATGTGAAGCCCTATCTTGCTTTACAGGGAAAGATTGTTTAGTCATTTTTCCATGAATACAAGATACACAGAGAGAATGACAAGAATATGTACTAACTGGAATCTGTGAATTCTTTAACATCAATGCCAAAATATCTTCTGCAGGATGTCCCAATCTTCTATGCCACACTGAAACTTGAACCTTCTTTCCAAGAAAACAGCAGCACACTTATTCAACATTGCAACAAAGGAATTTTTGAAGACATTGACTGGTATAGTGAACAACTCCCCACCATCACTCTTTTCTTGGTACAATATTTACCTTTGTTGCCTTGTCCTATATAAAAAAGACCACATCATCACATATAAACTAGCAGCCATTATCCTTGCACAACTTTTTAACAGAAAGTAAATTCACAATAATTTTAGGAACATATAAGACATTCTTCAATAATAAAGGATGCTTAAAAGTAGATAATGTAGTGGAACCAATATGAGAAACTTTTAATCCTTCACCATTACCAACAATTATCTGTTCATCACCAAGATAAGGAATGGCTTGATTGAGATTGTTGATATTGGTTGTCATATGGTGTGTTGCAGCTGTGTCAATTATCCACTGATCATTTGCATCAAAACCATGACCATTTGCAACTTGAATACCTTCATTCTGGCTAATCTATGTTTGTGCAATCATTGCAGCCAGTGATGGTGGTGGTGGATTCCCTTGGTATGCATAATTGTTCCTATGATAACATTCCAGAGTAATAATATACCCTCTTTTACCACAAATTTGACAGATTGTAATCCCATTTGATTGAGAATTTCCACTTTCAGACCTATAGTAACAGTTTGGAGCCGTATGCTCTCTCCCAGAGCAAATCTGACATTCAAGAGAAATACCCGATTTGAAATTAGTGTTGCCATTCCATGTGCCCTTGTTTGCATTCTTGTTGTTTCCACCAGAGAAATTACTCCCACTAGAGTAGTTGTTATGTCCAGAAAAACTACCTCCACTTCCTCCATTTTTGTTTCCCAAATTGTTACCACCAGAGTAAGATTTGAAGTTATTTCCACAAGAGCCAGCAAATTTCCTGTTATTGTAATTGTTAGCTCTGTTGAGGATGAAAACCTCTATTTCTATTTCCCATAAAACCAGATCCTCCGTGAAATCCATTATTGAACTAATATTCTTGAAATCTCTAAGTATTAGAACTTTCTCCTTGTTCAAAACCAACTTGAAATCTTACAGCACCACAATTCTCACCATTAACATACATCGCAGACATGGAAGATGTGACAGATTGAATCTAAGAATCAATTGTTCCTTCTGCACTTAACAGTTGAGCCCTGAAATCTTTCATGGAAATTGAAGTTTTCCTTGCAAGAATCACAGTTTTAATCTTTTCAAATTCAACTGGCAAACCAGTTAATACTACAATGATGTAATCATTATCAGTAATTTTCTTTCCTGCAAAAACCAATTGTTCCCTTATGCCTTTCAATCGTAACAATAACTTATCCGCTGTTTCACAACCATTTTGTGCAGTATGAAACTCAGTTTTCAATTGATTAATTCGAACCCTTGAAACTGAAGCATATCTTTCTTGCAACACAGTCCAAGCCTCATGAGAAGTCTTGCAACTAATCACATGATCCATAGCATCATCAGTTAGAGTAGCAATCAATAAACTGAGTAACACTAAATCCTTTTTAATCCATTCTTTATATGCCAAAGTTATCTCGTTTGTAACCCCTGTTTCTGTATTAATCACAAACTTCGGTGGACAAATGAATTCACCACTGAAAAATTCAAAGAGATCATATCCTCTGAACACTAATTGGAATTGATAACTCCACTTAACAAAATTATCATCATCAAACTTTACTGTTAACATTCCCAATAACCCTTCAATCTTAACTGTAGATTCAACCATTTTTGCAAAAACTTCAAGAATTGAATCACACCCAGACAAAGTAATCAAGAAATCAACTTTTCTTCAAAAAACACACCAAGAAAACAACTTTCAGACAACTTTATACTCCAGCTATTGGCCTTAAAAGGAGTCGAAAATACACTTTGGCAGTAAAGAGAAATGGCAATTGGCCTTAGAAATTCTCAACACTCAAATCACAGAGAAGAAATGGCATTTGGCCTTGAAGTTCATCTCAAAACTTAAGTATACGGCTATCGGCCTTGATAATTACAAGATTCACAAGAAACTTTTCACTGAGACATTAACACAAACAGTTGATGGGCGGAGAAGTAGTAATCGAAACAAAAACCTGATGACTTGAATCTTGAAACCCAAAAAACGCAGATGAATTTAAGAAATTATAATAATTTCTTAAAATATAAAGTGCAGATTTCATGAAGAAAAACGTCATTATTTAATCAGAAAAGCATGTTATAGCGATGAATTTGATTACTTGTTCCCTTCAAAATAACGCATTATTGGCTCAAAACGAATGCCCTAGCCATTAACTTCAGATTTCCCAAAACCAAATTTTCTTCGACTTACACATTCGAGCTGCTCCATAATACGTTTCCCTAGTTTTCCCACATCACACACGCTCTCCACAACCATTACTCATACATTGGTAGTAAATAATATGGTGCTACAACCTGACGCATTATGCATATATAAAATTATACAACTGGGTCAAAAATCATAGGAAATTATAACTTCCCTTGATCTTTTATTGCTTGACCTTACTAGTATTATTAATCTGAGAGCACGGCCTACCAAATATGATTGACAAGCATTATTATTTATCTGATGTATGTTGACTTCAGGCTGCGATGCGATCAACAGCGCGCACTATTGGCTGTCCAATGAGCAAATCGGTCTCCACCTCAGAACTCATGCTACTTTGGCTCCAGTAGTTTATAGGAGCAGAAGCAGGAGCTCCTGCTTTTTCATAGCTTACAGACGCAGAAGCTCTTTTTTCTTGGGGTGAAAACTCCATCCGCGGCTTCGCACGACACTGATCATATCATCATTGTGCAGATAAATAAACAAGAAAAGAAAGACCAGCAAAATAAATCATAATGGAAATCAGGATACCAAATCGCCTCAAACGTCATATGCACGGTACGTAGTTGTTAGGAATTAAACGGAATCAGTTCAAAAGGATTAAAAACGTTTACCTCTTCACGTAACCGTGCATTCTCTTGTAACAGGAACCTCTCCTGATTTTAGAGGAGAGAAAGATGGTTAGAACTTAGAACTAGTGAAGCAGTTGGAGAATGCACATATACAGCTCTACAAATTACTATTAACGGTTAGAGTTGTTGTTGACATTTCAAAAAAATTTATCATGCACTCCAAATTTTTATTGGAATATTGGCCAAAATGATCGTCTTCAAGTCTCAATTGTTTTTTTTTTCTTTTTGGTTGAGAAAAGTATGGTAAAATCTCAATTGTTGAAATAATCAGTTTTCTGATGTGTTGTCAATATTATTTTTGAGAAATCGCTACAACAAACATATTTTGACATATTTTCATCAGTCAATAAATGAGATTTTATTTTCATCATTTTACTCAATTTTTCAAAATTTTTTATACAATAAATGCGAGATAATATTTTTGAAGTGCTAATAATAGGACCCTAATAGTTGTAACACTAAATTAAATACTTACCCTTGCCTTATGTTGTTCCATCTGCTCCATGTATAATTGACCCTGGTACACTTCAAGTCAGTTAAATTTCAAGAGGACAAAACAAATTCCATTTAACTGATAAAGTTGGAGGAAAATGGGCATCATCAGATGACATGTATATATGTACCCTTCTCTCTCTTATGCTGCGTAAGCTTCGCTCCAGCTGGCTACTGATCTCTTGGAGTTCTTCAACAGGGCAAGAATCCAGATCATTTCCCAAAAGCTTCCTAAGACATACAAATTTCAGAGTTTAGGAAAACCTAATCTAATAAAATGTCAGATGAGAAGAAAATACAGGAGACGATGATCAAACTAGGCCATAAACCGCTGGGAAGCTTCTAGGATCTCTATCTTCTTGGCCATAATAGCTGATTCATGCTTCAAGTGCTGCACGCATGCAGATTAATCAATTAGTTTTTCTCAGCCACAAGTCGTCTCATATTCATATATGAGGTTAGGTTATTGAATTGAATAAATAAAAGAAGAATCAAAATATAGTGTCAAAAGAAATACGAAAATCACTTCTGTAACAAAAACAATCATCAGTCGCAACTAAATCTATAGAGTACAAACGCATGGCGACATGCTTAGGTGTGAAAGGATTTGCTAATGTATAGTTAACCAACAACTTGAAGCCCCTTCCCGAGTTTCTTTTCTTTTTCCCTTTCTCGTTTGATAAGCATGTCTCAGCCTATCAGGTGTCAATATTGTAAAATAATGATGATGATGCTTAAGTAAGATGAAGAAGGATAAAATCCAAAAAAATTCCCAGCAATCTTATGGTACACTTAGGCCTGGTTTGGTACTGAGGTGATTCTGAAAAAAGCTGGTATAAAAAAAAGCTGGAAGCTGTTTTTGTGTTTGGTAAATATTCAGCTTCAGTTTTTTTTCATAGTTTTGGGTGGAAAAAAAGCCAAAAACAAGAAGCTGCAAAACCCGGCTTTGAAAAATCGGCTTTTTTTCACATCTGTTTTACATAAAAGTTTACCAAACACTATAATACTGCCTTTTTTTTTTTTTCAAAAGCACTTTTACAAAAAAGTTTACCAAACACTCTACTACTTTATTTCACAGCACAGCAGAAGTAGCTTTTTTTCAAAGCACAGCAATACCAAACCAGGCCTTAATATACTTATTTACATATACAATTGTGTGTATGTATGGTACTAAATCACTGATTTTCACATAGTTAGAATAAAATTATAATGCACAGTTGACACAGAGAATCTCTAAAACAATTAGTTCTGGATTATGTTATATTGAAAAGAAAGGTGCCTAACTGAGCCAAGTAGGAAGGGAAGCAATAAGAACCATCACAGGCAAGTGATCTCACAAACACTTCCCACGAAAGTAGACTGTCGAGGCTTTGTTCTTCTGTGCCCTCAGAGAACACAATAGTCCTTCTTCCAATGCCCTCTGGAAAAACAAGAGATTCCAGGGCACATAAAGCACCCAGAAATGCCTCCTGATTATAATCAAGTTATGATTAAATAAAAAGGTTATATCTTCATTGAGGTTCAAGGTCGGGCGTATGAACATGCAAGGGGTGGTTTCTTATTACACCACGTTCCTTTAGCACACTAGTAAAAACGAATTTTTAATCTAAGCTGATAAGAAGAAATGAGTCTTAATTTGCTCATTGCCCTTACTAGCTAGGTGATGAGCGTTACCACTCTGTCACAATTTAGCTGTTTAACCATGGTTAACTAATTAACTTTTCTTTGCTCAAAAAACAAAAAAAAAAAAAAAAAAAAAACTAATTCACTTTTCATATATAAATAAAATAAACCAAAAAAAAAAAACAAAGCAAGCTAGGAATACCCCATTTTTATAAATTCCTTCCTAATTTGCTTGCCTCAATCTTGAAATTATTTATTATCAGCAATATGCTTTTTCCTTTTAACGTTAGAAATCATCGGTGCTAAAAAGCTTCATACCACATAAAAAATTAAAAGAAATAAACTAAATGGCTGGTGGGATTGGAAAAAGTATTGTAATGCTGGGGAGATCAAAATTTTAAGGGTAATGCTAGGAAAACTAAATTTGTAGACAAAATTTTGTAAACTAAATGACATGGAAGTTGATGTTTGAATTATTACTTAACCGATGATAAACGTGATCATTTCTATTGGTGACACATCATTTAGCTTGCAAATTTTGTTTACAAATTTAGTCTTTCTAGCATTACCCAAATTTTATACTAAATTTGCAAACCAAATGATATGTCACCAATAGGAAATGAGCACGTTAATCAACGCTTAAGTAATAATCAAATCAACAATCACATCTTTGGTTTGCAATTTGGTTTATAAATTTTGATCTCCCTAACATTATCCAAAAATATATTAGAACAAAAGAAAACAACTATTGCTGCTACACTTACAACTTTTCAATTCACTAGGAGGGTATTCATATTAGAACCAAAGAAAACAATTAAGCTTTCATTTGGCAACCCGTATAAGGAATTTGATAGAATAAATAATACGGACCAAATGTTTGGTGTAATTTTATATTAAATATCACCCAGATTAATTAAATTGGCCTTACATATTATACGGTGTAAGCCTGTTAATTTACTTACCCTAAAACCTATGTGTCATTAGTCGGGTAGGAAAATACGCTCGCTTTCTCCATCGCTTTCTTGTCGCGCTCTCCGCCCCTCTTGCATTGTTCGCAAGACCCACCGTGGATGTAATTCAGCCTGAATCCCATGCTATCTCCCTCTGTTCTGCCCGCCACCTTCTTATTTTTCTTGCCATGTTCTTTCAAACTGATTGAATCTAATTATTGTTTCTCTCCAATTTTTTAATTAAGTATTCTCTTTAATTAAAATTAAGGTTTGTCATTTTTTTCTAGATCTGAAAATTAGGGTTTATCATCAATTTCTCTCTTAAAAATAATAGCTGCCCAAAGTCCTATTATCCGATATAGTATCAAACAAAGTAAATAATATAGTCATTAGTCCAATACAATCTGAGCTGCCAAACGAGGCCTTATTGCTGCTACACAATTCACTCGTTCAGTTTACTTGGAGGATCGAAGAATGTAAAGTCATAATATTATTAGTTTTGTTGCTCTTTCACACATAGAACAATATTTATATATTGGCTAGTGATAAATCTGTGATCTGTGATCTGTGATTGGATTAGTTTTAATAATATTAATAGTTCTGTGATATGTGGTCGAAAAAGGTTTTTAATTTTTTCTAATATTATTATTATTATTTTTTTCTCTTTAACATACCAGTCGTACATGATCTGTATACCATAGGTTTAGCAATATGAATTCTATATTCTTATGGCATCCGTAATGATTCTATCTATAATTTATCTTCAGTTTTGTGAAAATAATCTCCAAACTTAATAATAGAAAATAAACTCAAGATTTGAAGGGAAGAAATTAGAAGGGAATTGTAGTTTAATGATTAGGTTGTTTTGTTATATATATAAAACTTAAATTAGACTATGGTTAAACTAACAGCGTGAGGCCGTTTATGAAAGGTGGTGAGCAACTTCAGACCTGAATAAATTAAGCGTAACAAAACCTTTCCAATTTTGCTTATCTTAAAACAAGGATCAAGAAGCCACTTAGTATTAGAGTCTAGTAGTATTCTTCTTCACTTATAAGTGAGAGGTCTTAGGTTCGATTCTCGCCAAAGGCGTATTTGAACCATATTATTGCTAACCCATTGTGAATCTAAGTCTACCATCTCCTCTTAGTTTAGATAATATCGTTTATTAAAAATAAATAAAAAATAAATAAAACACACACACACACAAGGGTCAACATTATGGGACAAACATTTTGAGAAATATTTTGACACTTCTTTAGAACATTTAGATTACACAACATTCAAAAGGTCCCCATTAAGAGTGATGTGAAAGTTTTTAACGAAAATTAAGTAAATGAGAAATAAAACTGAAGTACAGGAAATTGAAAGAAAAAATAAAAGGAACGGTGTTAGCGTGCAAGTGTAGGAGGCAGGACGCATGACGCAGAAGCTGCATGCGTCTGACCTTCTCTGTTGAGTCTTCATTCTCAAATTCGCGCAAAAACACCTTCCTCTTGACTCTATTTCAAATCCATACTAAGGTTTAATTGTATGAATAACAAGAGAGGAAGGCGGAGAGAGTTGTTGATTTAGGGTTTAACATCGCTTATCTAACGAAAGATTCAAGAGACTGAAACTTGATTTGTTTTGTGTCAAAATTTTGTATTGATCAAATCGAAGGAGCCGCACTTCAAAACAACAACTCTCTCTGCGCATCAGATTGCCACTGATAAGTGATATCAGATGGTTTTCTCTCAAAAAGGGGGTTTAAAAGTAAACAACAAAAGGGTTTGAAAATAGAATCAAGAGGAAGGTTTATTTACCCGAAAGACAATAAGAACGGAGTGAAGAATCAAGACTTTTATGACTTGTATACAAATTTGTTAACAAACCATTACCATTAGTTATTTGCGCAAAGTTATGGAGGTCTCACGCCCTCCTTGTTTGTACGTTTACAGGGAGAGATTTTTCAATGTGACTGGCACACAAGGTGCTACATCATGTGTCATTATACAAATAGTGGGATATGTATGTTAAAAAGTTAATAACTTAAAAAATAAAAGTTCCCACCATTTACATAAAAACACGTGGTGTACCATTCCTATTCCCCTCACAATAAAAAATTTCTCATTTACAGGAGGTTTCTCTCTTTCTTCTTTTTAATTTCCTTCCACTTTTTAATTCTTTCTCAGTTTTATCTAAATAAAATCCACGTCAATTAATGGCTATAATGTTCATATGTAGTTTTTGGAAACACAAGCAACTTGGTTTATAGACTAAAATGCTATAGTTCTCCTTCTTTATTAACTCGTACATAAATTAATTAATCTTATTTCTACCCTGCTTTGACGTCATTCACAACCCTTTCTCTATTTATTAAGGGATGCCAAATTACTTTTTGTGAATCTTAAAGGCCGACTAGGACTCAAAACTTTAGGTCTGTACTTCTAAAGCTTCTAGCCCGAAATAAATCATAGATACTTGGTTCTTTTTCATCTCACCCAACTGATATATAAACAACTAAAACCTATGTTTGGATGAGGAGATTTCAAAGTTCCATTGAACTTTATGCTCAATTATTTAAAATGCACAACAGAAAAACTACTTATAACTACACAAGCACTACAAAAGTAGTACTACTAAAATACTACAAATGCACTGCAAAGGCACCACATAAAGGATTTAAAACCTCTCTCATGTATTGCATCTGCTCATTTTCAAGTCCGTCTATCTAATTTTTGTAATCCATTCTTTATAAATGTAGTCTAAGTTCCATGAAACTTTAAAATCTCTTATCCCTTGTCCAAACATAGGGAAAAGTTTGTTTTTTGATCTGTATAATTATATCAGTAAGTCTATTCTCTGGACTTCATGAATCAATGCGATGAAGTCGTACTATATATCTTCCATCTTGTTGAAGATTATGGGCGAAGACTAAATTCACCGCGTCAAGATATTGCAAGTTTTATAACAAAATCTGAAATCTAAAGATGGATTTTCAAATTCCAAGATAGAACTTCTAACCTGCACATATTGTTCCACTTCAACCTTGTTGGTTTGCCCTGATCCATTTTCATGTTTATGATATCGATTTATGGTCCGTTGCATGCTGAAGCATCCAGAAAACGAAAGGTCAAAATCAAATAACGATGAAATCAATTATACAGTGCTCCATCCATCCTAATGAATTAGCGTACCTAAATATCCATACAAATATCTATTAAAATGAATTAGTATACCGAAATATTTGAACGTAAATATGTTGTAATGAATTAGTGACATAAGAGAATATGCAAATACATAGTGTACCAAAAATGAAAAGTCCATATCTAATAATTTTGTTATGCAAGATGTCAACAAATAAATTGAAATTCATTTGAATTTCAATTGAGTATTAAATTTATGAAATACTTTTCATAAATATGAACTCATGGACATCATGAAAATATTTTTTTTTTTTTTTTTAAAAAAGGACATTGAATACATAAGCTAACATTTAATAGAGTTTAGGGACTACAATCAATTTTTCATCATCTAGTTTCAATTTTTGTATCATCGTACACCCTAGCCTCAAGCTGGTACAACCATACCCATACCTTGTTACTTAACGCGCAAAGATTTTAATGATGTTTGTTTCTTTTTTTCTTTTTTTTCTTTTTTGAAATTAAGCATATGGAACAAAAGAAAAGATGGGGATTCAAGAATTTAAATATAAGGTATTTAATGAAAGAAACGTACTCAGAGCTGGCGAACTCATAGATCTTGGCTTTTTGCGAGAAGATGATGACTGCAACTTCAGCATCGCAAAGAACCGAAAGCTCATAAGCTTTCTTTAACAACCCCTTTCGACGTTTCGAGAAGGTCACTTGCCGGCTTGAGTTATTCTCAATTCTTTTCATCTCAATCTTCCCTCTCACCATGTCCTAGCTTTGCCTAAATCATCGTCCACCACCATAATTAATAGCAACGAAACAAAAATCCTTATAAAAATTGGTAACATCTGCTACATATATAGCTCAAAAAGCTAGCCAAAGAGTTTTTTTTTAGTAGATTATTAAGCAAAAGATTTACAACCTGCACCCCGAGAAGGATTGAAGAAGTGCTCCAACACTAGAGAGATGACAGATTTTGCAAAGAAACCCCAGGAGAGGGATTACTTTAAAAACCCCAATGAAGTTCTTAAAATATGCAAATTATAGATGAAACCCAGAAGGATATATATAGAAGAAAACCCCCAAAAAGATGTTAGATTAAGTTTCTAAAAATGGAATATAGAGAACCCATAAGTGCTAATTACTGAAAAGCCATAGGAAGACACCTTAAAAATGAGCAGCAAGGACACAGCGGTGTTGGATTGGAAGGAATCCAAATATGGAAACTAGATCAGAAACCCTAGAATGGTATTCACAGAGAAGGGAACCGCAGAGAAGGATCTTTTTATCTGATTGTGGATGCCCACTCTCTTTATCCTCAGGCCACACAATACTTTTTCCATATTGATCGATTGCTCTACTTATATTATTCCTCTGTCTTTCTCTCCTGACTTCCTAGCCAAAAAACAATTCCTTCCCAAAAAGCAAAGTATAACTAATTATAAAGCTCTCAATTATAACAAATAAATAAATGTAAAATAAACAACATAAGTTAAGTCAAGTTAAACATAACAGTATATTTTCGTTTACACCTCTAAGTTAAGGATAAGCGAAAAATTAAATGATCATTAACCTCGTAGCTTCTCTTATTTGGCAAAAATAAAGTAATGTTATGTAGACTAATTTTTTTAGACCACATTTGCAAACTATGTGCTGTGTTATATAAAATAAATAAATAAATAAGTACGTTAATCAACACTTAAGTAATAATTCAATCTTTAACAAGTACGTTATTTATTTACAAGATTTAAATAGATAGCCTCTTTAGTATTACCTACAAAACTAAGAAACAAATAAGCAAAAGAGGGAGGACGAGCTATATATAAGCAATTAGGTCTTTTATGCAAAGGAATCCCCATTTTTTCAAAAAATGAGGATTAGGTATAGGACCCATTTCATATCAAACTTCAACGATCCGAACTGTTTATTTTGTAAGTCTCGATTCAGAGATCATCCTTGCAAAAGTTGAATTCAGTCCAAAACCAATTGCCAATTTAATTATCAAGATAAAATATCATTATTTCTTATATAACAAAGTATTCGTTAATTTTTTTGAACCAAATTAGATGTCTTAAATATTTCCGATTTGGCTAATATTTTGTAAGGATGATCTATGAGGTGCAACTTGAAAAATAGACAGTTCAAATCGTTAAAGTTCGTTGTGGTGTAAACCCCACAACTAATTTCTATTTTTATGAAAAATGGGAATCCCTTCTCTTAAAGGCTACCTATAAGCAATAGTATTCTATAAAAGTGCATTGGGAATCAATTGATATATTTTCATAAAATAATACTAGCTACACTAATTTTTTAGATTAAATTTGTAAACTATGTGATGTGATGTATCACTAATAGAAAATAAACACGTTAATCAACACTAATTCATAATCTAAGAGAAATGTTAATGAAACTCTCTCAAAAGTGGAATCATTATGAACTTTCTATCACCTCATATTTTTGGCATAATATTTTATAATATTAACATAAAAATTAATGTTAAACTACAAGTTAGTCGAGAGTTTATAAATAGAGGAAATTATAACAATAGTCCATCAACTGAAAATATATAACCAATTGTCTCTTAACTTCTTAAAACGTGCAACTATAGTCATTTTCGTCAACTTCATCATAAATTTCGGCAAAATGAGTCACGTTGGAAGAATCATTGTTATATTTGGGTTAAAGTTGAAGAATCATTGTTTCAATTAGGTTAAAGTTGATGGATTATTTCTCTAATTGGGTTAGAGTTGAAGGATTATTTGTACAATTTTTTCATTCAGTTTTCCATATTTGTCTCTTGATTCCGACCTCACGTGCGTGGCATGTGACTCGTTTTGACAAAAGTCTTAACAGAGTTTACGAAAATGATCATAACTACACGTTTTGATAAATTAAAAGACTAATGATCATAAATTTTTAATTAAAAAACTATTATTCTAATTGATTTAAAATTTAAAGATCATTACAATAATTTTCTCATATAAATAATTGAGAGAATCTCGTTAACATTTCTCATAATTCATATGTTGGAGGGAAAAGTGTCAACTATCATCGTGCAATGACTTGCGTGATGGCCCAATACACAGCTGCGTATGCTGTCCAGCAGCCCATCGTCACTTTTTCGAAGATATGACCGTGTCACGTGGCTAGCCTTGAGTGCCGAGTCCAAATTATCTTTATATTTTATCATATTTTCAGAAATAAAATAAAAATGGTTAGGGTTTTAGGCTTTTAGCAGCGAGACGGGGACGTGTTTAGGAGATCCAGAAAGAAACATTGGCCGAAAGCCTGGAATCACAATGAGGTATGTTTTGGATCTAGCAAGGTCTCTGTCATGTCCTTCGATCTCTTAAATAAAGAAGAATACCAAAACCTTAAATATCACATTGAAATAAAATAAAAAATTTATCTATTGAGTAAAATGATGAGCATTACTAATTTAAGTTAATGATTAAAAATATTACTTTTTTCTTTTTGCTTTTTGTATTTGTGCAGGTTAAATAAACCTAAAAACGGCATAACATCGTGGTTGGGGTAATATACTAAGTGAGCTTTTACTGGATACATATTGCAATCGAAATCGTTGGTTTTCTTAGTTATATTTAAATAAATAATCCAATTCCACTATCAGTGCATGATCTTGTTTTCTGAAAAATGATTTTTCAATTCTAGGTTTTTACCTCTGTACTCATTCATTTGTTTTTACCCCTTAATTCTCATTCAAACTATCGAACTAACGTTTAGGGAACAAAAAAAAAGAAAAAAAAAAAAAAAAAAAGAAAAAAAAGATAAGTAATTTTTAACCACATGAATGAAATTAGGAAAATATATATATATATATATATATATATAGCAATATAATTAATTGGAGAACAATTGAAGGAATTTTTGTTTATTTATTTTTTTGCTATTGTTATGGAAAATTTTAATCAAACAAGAGTGATAGGGCTTTAAAATTTGTATGAAAAATGAGATGATTATATCATGAGAACAGAGCTTGTTTATGTGCTTTGATAAAAAAAAATTAAAAAAAAAAAAGGGGAAAAGAAAAAGATTAATACATTGGATTTGAACAAAATTTAAGATCATAGCTAGCTCAAAAATATTTCCATGACATTTTTCTTTCAACGTAATTGAATCTTTCTCTACATTGTATAGACCTTGGTATGAACTAACCAAAAAGAAAAGGAATTGGCTTATATGACACAAAAAAAAAAAAACCAAAATATTGTTGGGATAAGCAAGTCTCAAACTTGTGACCTACGAAAATCTGTAAACTATTTCAAGTTCAACCACTAGACTATATACTTTTTACTGCAAAAACTAGCACACAATCTAAATAAATGGATGAAATTCTAAATTCATCTAAACTACAAAGAGACAAAAATTTTGAATCTTGGATATTAAGATGAAAGGGAATGTCAATTCCCCTCCAATAGAGAATCGAGTAAATGGGCCACAAACCCATTAAAACAGAGCAAGCGAGAAAAGGAAGGCCGACTTCACCTGTGCGTATGGCTGAAGCGCGAAAAAGCAAGCGAAAAATGGGAAACCGCAGAGGAAAGCAGATTCCAAGAAAATAGCATCCAAGTGACTTCCAATCAAAACCAAAACCAAATCTTCAGATAGCTCCTCTCAAAGATACCAATCTCTTTACTGTACGAATCCCATTTCACTATCTAAAAAATTTAATACATTTGATTGGATTGTGTAGAATCATCTAATTTGATTCGTTAAGAAACGCCGGTATCACTTGTTCTTGGAGAAATGTTTCTATGATTATCGAAAAGAAAGATTTTTTGTTGCCCTGTGCAAATTGAGTTAGTAGCTTTAGGAGACCAGCTTGAGTGAGCAGCTTTCACGATGGCTGCTGGTCCGGCTACCTGTGGGGAAGACATTGAGGTTCCAGAGTGTACATGGTATTGACATTCCTTGTGTCTTTGTTGTGAACTGAAGCTCTATTAACGGGTGATTAGGTACTGGTTTGGTACTGATATGTTTTTGTAAAAGGTTGGTATAAAAAAAAAAATTGAGCTCAAAAATGTGTTTAGTAAACACTTAAAAACAACATATTTTCACAATTTTGGATGAAAAAAAGCTGAAAATGTGAAGTAGCAAAAATGACTCACAGCACATCAAAAACAATTTTTTTTTTCAAAGCATAGCAATACCAAACCAACCCTAGGCCTCAAGGATGTTGACACCCAGCGCAATCAGATCAGGCTATTAATTTTATTCAAGAGCTCAAAAATGTGAGAGTAGATAGTAGAAAGATGTCCCTTAGTATTATGGTCTAGTAGTATTCTTCTTCACTGGTAAAGGAGAGGTTTTAGGTTTGATTCTCGTCAAAGGTGAATTTGAACCACATTATTGCTAACTTATTGTGAGGCCAACCCCATCCTCTCTCCCTAAGTGTAGATAATATCGTTTTGTTCAAAATAAAAAGATATGTACAAAGGGAAGTTTATAGGGCAAACGAAGCAATCAAGTCGTACAAATTGCAATCTACCGTCAGAATATCAGGCACCATTAGATTAAAGGTCCTTTTTATATATGATCATCAAATTGGATAAGTCTAAGAGACAGAACAAACATCATTAAACATGAATATGTAGGAAAAGAAAATAGGCGTTTGATTATCATTTTCTTACGTATAAATGTTTGTGCAGAAACCAACCGTATAAGAAAAATAAAATCTATTTAATTCTCAAGATAAGATCAAAGTAAATTGGCGATTTAAATTGGGAACAAATTGTAAAAATAAAAATCTTTGGGTAATCGCCCTCTCACTCTGATTATAGTTTACCACACGGTAATTCTGTCTCACTTCACCATCCTCAATCACCCCAAGATTTCCGAGTTTTACCATAGAAGCTGCAAACTCCTTAAAGAACGCACTTTGGCTTTTGACATTTGTTTCTTACCTTCTGAGCAAACACTTTGTTCATGGTTGGGTCGACACCATGAAGCGAACTAAAATTCCGAAGTCAGGATTCGAATGAAGAACAATGTGAAAACCCTAGAGTGTGACCACCGGATAAAGCAACCAAATCTTCGTGGAAAGTTGGAGGTGGCAAGTTGATGGTCTCATTAGCTCTTGACACTCTTCCGTCTTTCCTCCCTTTTAGCACATTCCACTACGGACATCCGGACTGTCAAAAGTTGTTAAGAATGAATCTCACATTAATAAGAGAATGAACTTTGCATGAGTTTATAATTAGTTAGGTTACTCCTTGAAAGCAGTAATAGTAATGCATGTAAGGCGAAGATTGTTTTCGGTGGAAATTAACACAACCATTACTCATACATTGAAAGCAAATAATATGGTGCTACAACCTGACGCTTTAAGCATATACATAAAATTATACAACTGGCTCAAAAATCATAG